GACATGTATGTACACATTGAGAGCCGCTGTACCAGAGTTAAATTCCTCATGTGTCCGACACACCTGACCAATAAAGCTGATTCCGATTCTGATTCTGAGATAACATTCAAGGAGACAGGTTGTCTGTGACGTTAGTCCATTGTTTTGCTAAGCTGCAGAGAAATTAGTTTAAATACTTTTGTTTAGAGATTTGTTTTGTGTAACTGCCACTGCTCTTGTTGTAGACCACACACACATAAGGCCAGAAGACTTCAATCAGGATATTCAGGCACCTCTAACCAATGCAATGACTCTAAGGTGGGGGTCTATTAATTTGTTCTGCTTGTGAGTGTTTGGTTCATGCTTTGTCATATATATTTACACTATATATTAACACTCAACACTAACTTGTGTCTTTCCCTCTGTCCAGTCTGTGTAAGTCCAGCTCACCTACAGAGTATCTGCTCCCAATGCAGGTCTCATGTTTTACCTATAAAACCCACATTTTAATGTTTTTTGCTCATTGCTAATGATGTGAAAACATCAGATTTCCACACAGAGAAATGAAAAGTTTGCATCTTACTCACTGGATGTGGGTCAGTCACATTAGAAGGCAGTAGGGTAGGTTGCACAGAAGATGTTTAGCTAACTTCACAAAAGGCATCAGAGCAGCAAGGACACAAGTTGCACTGACCTGCCTCATACAGTGCAGTCTGGCACTACACTGCCATTCATGACTAGATGATCCAGGAGAGACGATTAAAGACTGAGAACAGTCAGTTTTGCTCAGTGAAGAAGATACAGACAAAGAGAAAGCAGACTGGGTACAGGTCTTTACTGCTTTAAGGGTCTGGGGATAATGCTGGTAAAACCTCTGCCCCTCTGTTCACCTGCCCTGTCCATCACAGACATTAGGCATATTATAACAAAAATTATTGTAATGTAAATGAACAGACAGAACTTTTAATTTTGTTCCACTTCTCATGATTGATTTAGTGGGACATTATTAGCATTTAACTATAATGTAAAATATGTTAATTAGGTTTTGGGGAAGGGAGGAGAGTAGAGGAGAGGAGAGGAGAGCATCTTGCCCCCCCCCCAGCAGCCTAAGCCTATAGCAGCATAACTATACGCTTTATCAAAAAGGAAAGTCTTAAGTCTAATCCTAAAGGTAGAGAGGGTGTCTGCCTCCCAAACTGAGACTGGTAGAGGAGCCTGATAGCCAAAGGCTCTGTCTCCAATTTTACTTCTGTGGACTCTAGGAACCACAAGTAGACCTGCACTCTAGCTGACAGAGTCTGTGTTCTCTCCTATTATGTTTATTATTTCAGGAATGCTGTTACTCAAGTGCTGCGTCATAGTAGTCTGGGTAAAGGTTACAAGTATTTAGTTTTCCACGTATGTGTGCAGAGACAGAGGGGGAGTCATATGTATCAATCCCCTTCATTGGTGTTGGAATTGGTTGAAGGATTTTTGAACATTGGGAGCTGGAACTGAATGCATCAGAGGAGGTGGTGGTGTGTGTCATTTCACGTCACCAGGATGTCAGCATTCAGGTTCAGGCTGTCGTGGAGTTGTTCGACTATTACACACCACTTTGGCAAAATGTCAGAGTCTCAAAGTTATACAAATTCTGCAAAATCCCAAAGGACATTGAAAGCGCTAATCGGACCATTACACACCACTTTGGCAAAAGGCCAGAGTCTCAAAGTTATACAAATTCTGCAAAATCCCAAAGGACATTGAAAGCGCTAATCTACAAATCTGCACTGGGTCTGTCTAAAGATCATAAATTAGCTCCATGATTAACTTCAGACTTAAACTCCAGTCATCTCAGATTTTTAAAGCCTACTTTTTAAATTGCCCTCTACCAAGACAAACTTAAGTACGCTGTGGCTGCAAATGAGGCTCAGTTGGTTCTCAGCTGACCTGACTCTGTTCAAAAGTAAAAAAAAATAAATAAAAAAAACACCTTCAAGGAGCTTTATATCTCACTGTTTACTGTAATAATGTTTTTTTATTTTTTATTTTGGTCTTCTATTATGAGCATGATAATGGTAATAAAGATAATAAAGATGTCTACAGTTTTTCTCAATGGCTTTGGTACATTTCTTAAATCATCCTTGAGATTTGCTAAACAATAGCAGCTGTTCTCAGAACTGTAATCTGTGTAAAAACTGATAAAATAGTTTGTTTTACAGAGGAGTTCTTGGCTGGGTGTTTATAGGCAAGGCTCCAGAAAGTCACAATGCCTGCACAAAACATCCGATTACTTTATTACAGTTTTTCACAGTCACTTTTGTACATTTCTCAGATGAGAAATGAAGTTCTGTAAATTAATTGTTCAATCTCGATAACATCGAGTCACTTGTGTACATCATTTAAACAATTACTCATTGTATTAACACATTACAAATGCTTTGGCACATTTACACAGCTGATTATGTACAAATGTCTGTTGTTTTCTACATTATTAGTTCCTTATATTGTGTTGATCTAAATGTATTATATAGTTCTCTGTTGAATAGTCTGACCTGCCACGACATTTAGGCATTGGTCATTACATGCAAAATGGGTGAACTACTTGTCTTTAGTATTCATCAAGCATATTTCTATACAGCTCGGTTAGACTTTTTTATAACTTTGTCTGAATTGTTTAACTGCTCTCAGGTGAATCTTGACTGTAACTAAAGAATGTGAATGTGTGAAGCATAAAAGCAACCACTGATCAAACAATTATCTACTGTAAAATAGCTCAGAGGTGCTTCTCATGAACCTTCAACTGGCAAGGACTGGTTTAGACAAAGCACAACACAGTGTTACAATGTCTAACAATGGAAGGACAAGGAAATGAACAGCATCAACTACCAGGCAGAAGAAGAGGAGTTGGGCTGAAGAGTAGGGAGGCAAAACAGAAGGAGCAGCAGAAAAGGCCAAGGACATACAATAAGCATGTTCCCAATAAAATATGGTCCACACTTGTGAACTACATTTTCATTCATGGCCTTACAAAGGCCAAGGCTGGTTGAAGACAGCTTAATGTTGGGAGAACAACCATTATGTCTAGAGGGTGTTTCCTGTGTTTACATTTCTAATGTTGTATGTTTTTTCCTTTGTGCTATGCAATGATATAAAACACTTTACTTTCTGTATTGCAATGACATTACTGTAAAAACAGTAACAGTATAAATGTGAAAACTGTCTGTCAGGGACCAAACAGCAAGGCAAAGGACACAGCATTTAAATTTTATTTACCCAAAAAAAGGAAAAAAGAACATCAATATCAA